TGTGGGGACGCCGCCTGACACACACCCATTATGGTTTGGTCTCTGTGCCGCTCTCCCCGCCGGGCCAGGGCCTGGACTAGGAACCTTCCTGTAGAAAGTCTGTGTAATAGGACTTGTCTACCTTCGAGTGGCCCATTGTACAGCACATATGACTCACACTTTCTAGACACACTCTCTCTCTCTCCCTCTCTCTCTCTCTCTCCCTCTCTCCCTCCCTCCCTCCCTCCCTCCCTCTCCCGCTGGTGCAGGGATACAGCCTGGGGCTGTCATCCTTGTCTTGTGCCTACTGCTGCCACCCCTGGAAGGCCCCAGGGCTGTTCTGAGTTGGAGTCAGTGACTTCCCTGAGCTGCCTCCCCCATTACAGTCATTGTCCCAGGGAAGTTGTGTTTTCTGGAAGCCAAGCAGCTACAGGGACTCAGGGACTGGAGCAGACAGGCTAGGGCAGCTCAGTCCTAGGAGGTCTCTGAAGATCTGGACTGGCACTCCCCAAGCCAGGCCTGCTGTGGGCTCCCTCCCTGCAGAGTGCTGAGCTGAGCCAGAGGCTGGCAAGCTGGGGCCCTGGGCCTTATAAGGGTTTGTGATAAGCCTGCAGGCCCTGGAGGCAGGCCATTAAAGCATTTGGGTTTTTGGAACTGTGGCTTGGCTGTGTGGTTGGGGGTTGTGGGTTTAACATTTCATCCCTGTGTGCATGGGTCCCCACTCCAGGCTGTTCTCCTGCTCCCAGCCTAGAAGGTACTAAGGGTCCCCAGCACCAGGCAGGCCACCTCTGGCCATATGTGCCCTTCTCATACCCATTGGCCAGCCCCTTTCTTGCTCAGGGAGAGCCCTCCCTCTTGAGACTCCTTGTGTCCTGGTGGTTGTGGGTCTGTAGCCTACTGCCCAGTGAGAAGTGCTGGTCACCAGGCCCCAGCATGTGCCCCTCTCTCAGTCCAGAGAAGTGCCTGCCTTGGTCTGAGTAGAGCTGTCACTGCTCCTCATGCTGGTGACTAGCTCCTTGGGGGTGCAGGGGGAGACTGGGCCCACCCTCCAGAAACCCTGCCCCTGCTGAGCTCCATTCCTCCACAAGTTTGCTCTCAGGGCCCCAAGGTGGCTTCCTGGACATGGTTTCCCACTCCACCTGGGCAAGGGGCCAGGCCACTAGGCTTGTTAGACCTGCCCAGCATCTTGAGGGTCTTCACTGAGGCCAGCTAGACTACCTCTCCTGTCCCAGCTGGGCCTTGCATAGGCCCAGGATTTGGAGTGGCAGCTGCCATTGTCCCCTGTACACTATCCATACAGGTCCAAGAGGAGTTCCCTGGACCATGAAGGGGACAAGCACCTATCACATGTGGGCACTGCAGTGACAACCTGGAGGGGGCGGGCTAGCTTAGTCTGGGTGGGGGGAGATGTCCTTGGGTCCCAGAAGAGGTGATGCCTGAACTGGAAGAAGTAGGTGTAAATCAGTGTAAGTGGTCTGAGTAAAGGGAGCTCCTGTGCAAAGGCCTGGAGCTGTATCTGGAACAGCAGAATCCCCAGTGGGGCCAGAGCTCCAAGAGCTAGAAAAGGGCGAGGGCGAGGCTAGGAGACCTGCCTGCAAATCTAGCATGTATTACTGTGTCACATCAACTCAAATCCCACAGCCTGAAGAATGGGGGTTTGGGCCACGTGGCTTACGGACAGCTGAAGCACAGAGCGGGAATCACTAGAGGCTGCTCACGTGAAGAGAGAGGATTGCAGCAGAGGTGGGTCGCTCTGAGTCCTGGGGCTGGGGGTGCCTTGGGCACCTCTCCAGCCCCATCAGCTTCATCCACCTCACTGCCAGGGCCTTACTGGGTTTGGCTGTTTCCTTCCTTCCCTCCCTTACACACCCTCTGCCCCTCCTACATGCCAGGCATACATCTTGCCAATGGCCACAGGGCCCCTCACCTGTGTGCCCACTTGTGGCCCTAGAGGGCCCATGATGGTGTGGAGGCCGGGCTAGAGTGGTGCGGAGCTGGCCCTGGCTGGAGGGAGGCGGCTGCTCTGCATGAGCCAACTCTGCTCCAGGAGGTCCCACCCCCAAGCTCCAGTCTGAGGGGAGGGACCTAGCCCTTCCCTGAGAGTCCTAGTGTAAGGGAGGAGGTGTGATAGTGTCCCAGGGAGCCCCAGCCTGAAGTGGTGGGGGCAGGAACAGAACTCTGCCAGGGACTGCCAGTCTGACGGAGGCAGTGCCCTACCCTGGCTACCACTCCTGGCAGTGGCTAAGAGCTAAGGGCAAGGAAGGAGTGTGGGAAGCTGAATGCGTTGGGTCCCTGTCTTCCAACCCCCAACCCCTCAAGGAAACCAGAGCAGGGTCACCTCTGCCTTGACTGAACTTGGCTCTTCTGGTCCCACAATTCCCCCGCAACCCTCTAAGGCTCCTGGGCTGGGCTTGGCCTGGCAGGGCTTCTCAAACAGAATCTCCCAGAAAATGGTGTCCTGGTCCCCATCAAGAAACGTCTTAGAGCCCATGAATCTGGGTTTTAGTCAGAGTCCCAGGACGATTCTTAGTCAGATATTCAGGAACCATATTTTGAGTAATACTACCATCATGCCCCTCACTTCAGGTTACAGATGGGGAAACTGAGGTCCAGGAACGTTGTGACGGGTCACATCAGGTCAGGGGCTGTGTCAAGACACAGAGCCAGTTCTGAGGGCTCTGGGCCAGCAGGGTGGCCCATGACCCCACTGTGCTTGGCTCTGCCCAGCCCCTGTTGGCCTACCCCAGATCTGCCCTTGGCTGGGTTTGTCTCTGCCCCAAGTGGCCTTGTGAGGTCCACGTGCCTCTCTTGCCCTAAGTTAATGAAAGGACGGTGCTCAGTGAGGCTCCCGTTCGGGTGGGGTCTAGCCTCCTGGATGCCCCACTGAGCACCCCAGCCCACAAAGGGCCGAGGAGCCCAAGCGGCTGGCTCACTGACAGGAGTTAAGCCTGCAAGGAGGTGGTTAGAGGGACAGCCCTGTCTCTTGAGCCGGTGTCTTGGGGGAGGAGGAGAGTAGGGCTGTGTCTGGTGGTGGTTATCAAGAACCCCGTCCCCTTGATGACCTCCAGGCACCTCCTTCCCTGGCACCTAAGGGGGTTAGGTTGGATGGGCTGGGTCTCCCTCAACCCTCCAGGGGACTCTGGGAGCAGGGCCCAACTCTGTCCTGACTGGCTGTGTCTGTTCTGATCCCACAGTTCCCTGCTGGAGATGGGAGGGGTGCTGCCAGCCTGTGGGGCCAAAGCCCCAGCCCAGCCTGCTGCCCTAGCTGATGAAGTCTGGGGTGGGCATGGGTGTAAGGAAGGCTGCCAGGGCACTCCTGGCCCTGTGGATACAGCAGGACCCCAGCTTCTGGAGTCTTCACCAGCCCTGCCCACAGCCACCCTGGCATCTCAGTTCAGCAGGTAGCATGGGTCCTCAGCAACTAAAGGGCCAGTCCTCACCAGATCTAGCTGGTGCTTCCCCAACATGGTCCTGCAGCCCAGCGGGCTTCCCAGGTCCCCAGCTTTGGGTAGCCCAGCCCCTTCCAGGTGTTGCCAGCTGGGAGCCTCCTTTTGGACCTGTGAGTGCTATCTCGTCTGAAGTTGGCTTAGACCGCTCTTCTGGTCTCATGGGTACTTCTGGTCCCAAGCCCCTGGCCTCCAGTGTTCCTCAGGACCGGTCAGTTGATGCCACCCTCTGTATACCAGACTCGCTGTCCATGCAGCCCCAACAGGTAGCCTTGTTCCCTTGTGGCCCCCAGACCCACCCCTTTGATGTGGGCCCTAAACCTCCAGCTGGGCCCACCCTTGCAGGGAAGGTGCCTGAGGCTTCCGCAACAGTTCCTCTGGTGCTGGTCTCCCTCCCAGGGACCCCTGTGGAGGGGTCTGTGTCCACCAAGACCCCCTGACTGGTGGGGGACCCACACCCATGGGCGCCTTCTTTCTGACTGCTAGACCTTTCATAGCCTGGAAACTTGAGCCCTAGGCAGAGGCATAATGATCCCTAGGATGTTCTCAAGCAGAGAGGCTGTTTGGTACCAGACCCTGGCTAAACTGAGCTGGGCAGTGTGAGCGCCTCTGGGCAGGGGGTGCTTATCCCTGAGGAACTGGCACTCCAATGCCTGCCATGTTCCTGCCGGGCATCCCAAACTAGGGACTCACATCTGCCCCCCTTGCTTCTGGGACTCCCATCCTGACTCACCTGGGAGTCATGGAGACCACTGCAGGAAGCCACTGCCAGTTGGGAGC